TAACTTTGTATGAAAAAATACAATTTTGTTCAAGACAATCTAATATTTCCAGTTTAATTGCTGAGCAAGAACTGCATAGAATGTACAAACTCGACACTTTCAAATTATTCATTTTAGCCGAAAACCTAGAGTTTGTAAAAAAATTGATCATAAATTAGTTACCGTTTTTGCAGGCTTTGTTCAACCCATAGAAATCTACAGTAAATCGAAATTAAACTACCTCATGCATTTATTTTTATGATATTTAGTATGTTATAAAAATGTCCCTAGACTTTTCCGATGTGTGTATATTGTTTTACACCATCAGAAACTTTTTGAACAAAGTTGATATTTTCACGCGAGAATTGTCGATTGAAAATCAGGGTGTTTTTTTTGATATTAGATCAAAATGAGGTGAAAAAATAAATATTTCGAATGAAATAAATTACAGTGTATTTGGGACATATTTGTGTCTGAAAGTTACTTCTTTGCATGATCTACACATCCATGTACAGAGTTACTTATTTTCAAATTGATTACTTCCTTCCTTGCTTTGGAAGATTCCCTCGTCCTTTTTTGTATCAAGATGGAGTAGTAGAAAGCCAAAAACTTTTTTTCCCAAATATTATTATTTCTTCTGAAAGCTACGTCCAAATCTTCCTTTCCTTCTTTTTCTAAAAACATGCTACGTCATTGGTAAGCTCACCAAAGTATGACCATGTCCTATGGCGTTTACTATCGTTTTTTGAAGTGGATTAAAATGGGTGGATGTCAATTTTCTGGAAAGAATGGATTTGTAAACGTTGTTGACAGTTATTCGCTTGATGAAACTCAGTTCTTTCTGAAAATTATGGAGTATGTGTCACAAGAAATAAAAAAAAATTATATGAGCCGTCACGAGACACCTGACAGATGTGAAACGTCAATAATGATATTTTGTGACCTCTGTGATGATTGTTGGGTACTGCAATATTTATTGAAAATATGTAATTAAAATAAACATGGAAAAATTTTATTGTGGCTTTAATATACTACTAAACTCAAGAATCTTAGCTGTTATTACAATATATTACTAAATATCTTAAATTATAAATATCAACAATAGATGTCTCAATATAAACTCCACCATCAGTATAAAATTAATCAAGAAATTACTTTTTTCATGTCCCTGTTAATAACAAAAAAGAAAAGCATCGTGCGCAGACCAAATACACGCGGGGTTAGTGCACAAATAAATAAATAATGCACACTTCAATTATCACTTTCCGAGATATATAATTATTTAAAAAAATTATTTATTTAGTGAAACACAGGTTATGTATACTGCAGTAAACACCGTTGTATACACTATAGGCATCCAAGTTCAGTGTGGCGTGAGAGACAGCGTAACGACGAATAAGTGCAGATAGAATCGCACAGTCGCTTTAGCATGGCGACCCGTCGCCACGGTTTTACATGAGAAACAATCAAATGATTTTTCATTAGGAACTTTTTTCACACTTTTGACGAATGATAACTCTGCCCCCTCTATTGCTACAACAATGAGTTATTATGTTGGTGAATTTTCTCAAACTTCTAGTTTCTCAACATGTATTAATTTTGAGTATATTTCAACACTTATTTTTAGTCCTTATAAATTGATTTGTGGAAAATTGCAAAAGCACGTTTATTATAAATTTTAGTAACAGCCAAATCCAGATAATTTATTGAATTATTACTTCCATTCCAGAGGTGAATTTAATTGGTGGGTAAATAGAATCAAGAAAATAGACAAACGTGAACAATTGTCTACCTATACGAGTAAAACTGTTGATAAGTTGATCAACAGTTTCTTGTGCTGGTACAGATTATTGAATGATGTCTTAGTCTCAACAGCCTAACCTACTGGCAGTTTAGAATTTTCAATGAAACTATGTAAATTATCAGTTTTTTGAAGCAAGCATGTGGCAGTGGATGAAGCAATGGGTCAATTCTTCTCTGTCATAATGTATTCATTTATAGTTTCGTATTACTTATTTCTTTATTTCAGGGATTTCAATACAAGCCGCCAAAACCGATTTTTTTATGTTAGTACAATAAATAGTTGTTATTGAAGAATAAAGAACGTAATATATGACTTTTTCAAAATCTGTCAATTTAGTAACTGACATATATACAGAACTTTAAAAAATTAACTAGACAATACATAACATTAAAATGAACAGTTCAAAAATAACTTTACAGAACGCTCAAAGGTGCGAACTCGTTTTCTCCTTTTCGTAAAAAAGGATGTATGCATCTCCACTCACAAGCGATTTTGGTGAAATTGGTGACACTTGTGAATCATTGTAATCGTGCCACGTGCCATTACAAGGATGTCTGCAGAATGCTGTATAATGGCCGCTGTAGGTAGACCCACTGTGATTCGAAAGTGCATATAGATTATAGCGACAAGGTGTCACATTATCTGCTGCATAATTGTTCATATCTAATCCATCTAGAGGAAATTCGATGGCAACATTTAACTTGCCTCTAAATCTTTCTGTCAGAGAAAATCTTTTAAAATGAATAACGAAAATATGGGGAAACTTATGAATCGATAGAGACTTTGTGCATTTCCTTCTTTCTTTGCAACTTGAACACGTCGGTTTTTCATGTCCATCCAAATTTTCCTCTCTTGTGAAGAAATCCAAGCGCTGTGATAAACTCAATTAGTTAGTTCTTTCTGGTATGGGAAGTGACAAATCCCAGAAAGGATCGAAGGTTACAGATGAGTGTCCAGAATGTGTGCACTTCATCGTGGATTTTAATTGACCAACAAAATTATCTACAATCTTAGAGTCATATGTACTGAAATAAAACAGCCATGACTTTTGTGCTTTTTCGCTGTCGCTCAATTTTTCGTCAATCTCCGTAACGGTCGGTTTAGGTTTCTCAATAGTTCTATTAACGTCATCATGTAAACCTTCTGAAAGATAACGAAGGAACTCCTGGGCGTCTTGATGCGCATGACCCATGAATCGAGGGGCAAAATTCTGAATCTGACTTTTAAAGCAGACTGTGTTCACTGCTCCATCAGATGAATTTTCTGACCACAATTCCTTGATAACTTTTGCAAAAGCTTTGATTAAAGAACCCTCCGAAATAGAAATATTAATATTGATATCTTTCATGTACTCATCTTTTTTCAAATATTCCAGTAGCCATCTCGTATTTGATAAACAATGGATTACACTATTCATAAAACAGGTGTTGCCAATATTTTTCAACCCATTAAGCCCAAGGGTTTTGACTGATTCTTCCCATGATTCTTGTCATCATTGGACCAACGGAATGAGGAATTTGAAGTTAAATTTCTTGAAAATGAATCAGATATATTCATTGTGGTTTTTTCGAATTTGGGAGAAAAAGATAATTCCAGAACTTGTTTATATGACTTGGTTGTTTGCATCAGAATATTGATATTAAGTTTACAATATTATTTTTCTTTACGAATTTCCAGGAAGTGTATACTTCGATAATCTGAAAAGATTTTTATTTATCTTCTCTTAAAACCGCAACAAAAATAAAATATTTATAAATAACAAATAAAATTTTATTGTGTTTCTATCTAATCCCTGAATATATAGGGTTATACGCATCAATGTACTATATGAGCTGAAAAATCTCGGGCCTAACACACTAGCCCCATATTATGGAGGTGTTTCCTTAGTTGGCCAGTCAGAAAAGCTACTGTTAAGCGTAGATTTTTCCTGGTCATCGCCAGATATTTCTTCGGCGCCAGCTTCCCAGGGTCGCCCAAGGTGATCCTGGCAAGTTTGCATCCTTTGATTCCATCCTATACCTTTTGAGCATGGGTGTAACATTTGGCTGGTTCCACAATTGTCGAAGTCATCTGGCCGTAGTTGCCATTGAGTCCTAAAATTCTTATTCCAGCCGCTTCCTTGGCTAAAAAGTTGGCAATGTGATAACCTTTACTCCTGCCATTCCCTTCAACCCACCTCAAGATAGTGTTATTATCTACCGAGGCTTTGGCTAAATCTTGGTGGCACTCTAGTACTAGCCCTGAGGTAACACGTTGTCTGTTCAAGGCTAATAGGACTTGTCTGCTATCAGTGCAGATTGTTATGTTTTTGCCATAAATTCCTTTACTGGTTATTTCTTTTCTGGCGATTGAGATACCAGCCAGTTCTGTTGGCTAATAACACAGACTAATATGGCTAATAACACAGACAAATCTTCAATATAGAGCGACAACGGTTTCAAGAAGAATTAAACTTCTTTGGCTGCAAAATTATGTGCCTATGCCGCTACCACACTAGACTTACAACCGGGGGACCTACAACCGCTCTTAGGATGAGATTCTCATCCAACGTATTCAGTGCTGTAGTATCGGAGGATTCGACGGTCCCACGGACATCGGATTAGTTTAAACGGTCGAAAATTGATATTGTGTTTGGTTTATTCGCTGTTGTTATTATTGTTTTTAGTTTTTGTAGTTGGTTATACGTAATTTACCACAAAATATTCTCTAATAACCTTAAATTTCGTTTTAATAAGAGCACACGCCTATGGTAAAAGAACTAAATTGGCTCCACACTTTGTTTCGTCACCGAGAACTTTGTGAATTTATGAATGAAAGTAGTGGGAGTGGATTTACTGGTTCATTATTACTATGCCCCTACTATCCAAGACCAACGGCAAAAAAAAGAAATAGAAAAGCATGAAGGATGGTTAAGGTACATAACAGTTGATTGGTAAAGTAATATGTTCAATGTTTCAGACGCTTTCTTCGTAAAAAATATTGAAGGAGACTCATCTTCCGATTTAAATCCCCTGGATGACTAAACTCCATGTTCATGAAAAACAAAGAAGAATATTTTTTTAAACAATGTAATTGAGGTAATCCGTTTTCTGAGGTATTTCTAAAATTAAAGTAATTTTTTTTTGGGTTCTTCAGTATATCAGCAGTCTTTAAAACCTACGTGAATATTCAAGCAGATTCGACGAATAACCCTGTACGTTGGAGCATGTGAACACCTTATATAAACCGAGTTATTCGACTTAAAAACCAAGCTGAGATATGACGTTTATTACTTTTCTGGTATTGTGTGCCTGTGTGTTGGTAGCTGATTCTTTCAGCGGTGAGAATTTCAGTATTTTTCAAATCGAAAATTCAAAAAATGCTTAATGGCAGATTTTTTCCTCAGTTCAAACTCCCCCTAATAATTCAAACTTGATTTCAGATCACTACTGGATAGACTGGAATGGTACCCTACCATCGAATGCATTTGTGGCAGGAAAAGATATCCGGGGCAAGTTATACGTCGTTCAAGCTTACGTAGAAAATTATGGAACTTTCGTGGGGTACATTTCAGAAAATCAAACAACCTCAATAATAAACCCATGCCTGGGACTTGGACCAGTACAGAAAGTTTCTGACACTAAGGTTGGTGACAATAAATTATCTTCCAAATCGAAGCCAAATTTATGTACTGAAACCTCTTTCAGTCAATGATTAGGCACCTCTGAGATTATTAATTCCCTGTAATTTAATGAAAATTTCATTCGTTTATTCAGACTGGAGTTACTAGATTTCAACAATTCTTTTGGGACACTTTGTATAATTCAAGGTTCTTAGAAATAATAAGTCATTCACACCTTGCGCAGTATATTGTATAGTATACTATATTATGTAGCAACACAATATAGTATATTGTGTAGCATACTATATTGTGTATATTGCTACACAATATATTATATTACGTAGCGACACAATATAGTACATTGTGCAGCATACTATATTGTGTTAATTGCTATACGACATACTATATTGTTTAGCAACACAATACACTATATTGTGTAGCAATCCTATGAATGATATCAGAGTGAATTCCATAACTAATATTTTTGAGTACAAACTGGATATCAAGAAGTATTATTCTATAATTTAATGTTTATATGAGAGTAGTTGTTTCGAGAGGACTTTTTCTTCCAGTTTGTGCCTGAAAGTTACTTCGATGGAAAAAGTGTTCTCATTGAATAGATAGCTCTAGCACTAGTGCGAGAAAAGTCTTTTCAATAAATAGATAATTCTATTTTTCGTTATTCCATTAAGAAGATAACCATATTTCTGGCCTGTGAAAAGTGTATTGTTATTAAATAGATGATTATAGTTTTGGGGTGTGGGAAAAGTGTTTTCATTGCATAGACCCAGGTTTTGGTATGTGGAAAGTGTTTTAAATGGATAGATAATTCGATAGGAAAGTGTTCTCATTGAATAGATAGCTCTAGCACTGATGCTTGTGTGAGAAAAGTGTTTTCATTAAAAATGTAATTCTATTTTTCGTTATTCCATTAAATAGATAACATATATCTGGCCCGTGAAAAGTGTATTGTCACTAAATAGATGATTCTAGTTTTGGGATGTGGGAAAAGTGTTTTCATTATTTAGATAACCAAGGTTCTGGTATGTGAAAAGTGTTTTAAATCGATAGATAACTCGGTGGAAAAAGTGTTCTAATTGAATAGATACCTCTAGCACTAATGCTTATGTGAGAATATTTTCATTAAAAAAATAATTCTATTTTTTGTTACTATATTAGATAGATAACCATATTTCTGGCCTGGTAAAAGTGTATTGTCACTAAATAGATCTAGTTTTGGGATGTGGGAAAAGTGTTTTCATTATTTAGATAACCAAGGTTCTGGTATGTGAAAAGTGTTTTAAATCCATAGATAACTCGGTGGAAAAAGTGTTCTTATTGAATAGATAGCTCTAGCACTAATGCTTATGTGAGAAAAGTATTTTCATTAAAAAAATAATAATTAGATGGATAACCATATTTCTGGCCTGGTAAAAGTGTATTGTCACTAAATAGATGATTCTAGTTTTGGGATGTGGGAAAAGTGTTTTCATTACATAGATAACCCAGGTTCTGGTATGTGGAAAGTGTTTTAAATCGATAGATGACTCGGTCGGAAAAGTGTTCTCATTGGATATTTTTCCAGTTTTGGTGTATGGAAACATATATTCATTAGATACAAAACAATAAATTCAGTCCTCAACCCTTATAACTCTTTTGCTTGCAGATACTATGCACCACAACAGACTCCCTAGCATGGATTCCTTCAAACCACACTTGTACGCCAACAATTTTGAGATACACCTTCCCAGTTTTAGGAGGGCTGACAGACGAGGGGGAAAAAGTTTACGTAGGAAGGTACTCAGTTGGAGAACACACATACATAGGAAACGTCCACACCAATTACAACATCTACTTTACAAATTATAAATCAGGAGGAGCTCTTCGATCAACTTACGATATTCTAATATATCCTGGACGGGATTAGTATTTTCTAGATTTATATTCTTCCCTGTCATTTTAGGAAAATGTTCTATGATCAAAACAAATATAACACAAAAGTTAATACAGATATTTGCTTTTTTGGAAATTCTACTCAGTTTGTATTTCAAACATTCGTTGTAGAAATAAAAATCAGATATCATTCACATGAGTTCTACTTTAAATAAATGGTAACAAATTGCACTTACATGGAACACTGTCCTCCTCACTGGTATACATCGATGTTTCGCCTTAATACACTTGCCCAAAGGCTCTTCAGTACCAAATTGGATAACATTATAAAAAATACACACGATTCATTCATGAATTACGATTTTTAATGTCACGGAATCAGCTTGATCTGCTTATGTCATCGATGACATCGTAATTACATTCATTCACCTATTTGATTCAATCCCAACCAAGAGGAATCTTATTTGAATTGAAAGGGTTATATTTTTAGGAGTCATTAATTTTTGGGAAGGAAAGTTTTTGGCTTTCTACTACTCCATCTTGATACAAAAAAAAGGATGAGGGAATCTTCCAAAGAAAGGAAGGAAGTAATCAATTTGGATTGTGTCTGTGTGTGTGTGTCAATGAGTCTGAAATCAGAATCAATCGATCTATTTACAAAAAAAAACAATTTTGTTGTAATGTTGAAGAATTCTCAAACTTACATTTGTTATTGAATTCCGTAGACAGTCTCTCAGAAATTGATGAACAGCCAATTTTGCTCACATCAATGCATAGAATAGCACTTGGTACTACCATGACAACGATTTCTTCTGCACAGTTGAAAACCGAGATGAACATTTCACGATCCCCAATGTAGTTGGGTAAATCAATAAAAAATTATAAAAAAGCAATGGACCCAAGGTTCCCCTTTGAGGAGTTATTGTTGAAACGTACTTTACATTTTTCTGCTTGTTATATACAGGGGTGCGCAAAAGTCCGGAATAAAATTAATATCTTTTTAACCAGTATTTTAGGAAAAAAACGCTGAAACACGTCAGTTGATTCCACGTTGTACGCAGTTTTTGGCAATAAAATGAATTTTTTTTTGAACCCCTTAGCTGCAACCCTCCCCAACTTTTTTTTCAAATGCAAAACTATGTCGTGTATGAGCTCATTGAAAAGCTCGTAAAAAATGGATTCTGACCATACCCTTTTTTTGTGGGGTCAATGAAATGAGAAAAAACTCTTTTTGAAAAGTTACAAATACCTAACTTAGTGCTATCTACGGCTGAATTAACGTAACAGATGCTGAAATTGGCCTCCACTCTCTATTTGGCAGACTCCTAGGCGATGGTAAAACCCGTCTACGGAATTCCGAATGGCCTCAGCCGTTATGTTATGTGATTCCACTCTAATTCTGCTTTTTAGATCTTCTATATTAGCCGGCCTATTTTGATAAAACTTGTCTTTCATATATCACCAATAAAAATAATCTAATGGCCTTAAGTCTGGGGATCATGGCGGCCATTCAATTGTACCACGTCGTTCAATCCAGCGTCCTGCAAATATGTCATCGATATATTCTCTGACATTACTACCAAAATGTGGGGGAGCGCCGTCCTGTTGGAACCAAAGTGTTTCAGTGGGGAAATCTGAATCTGCTTCATTGGGAAACATAACAGCTAAAGCAAGGACTAATTCAAAGCGTGAAAGGTCTAAGTAGCGTGCAGCTGTAAGGTTTCTCTCAAAAAATTATGACCCTAATATTCTGTTGTTGATGATGCCTGCCCATACATTTACTTTCTGAGGACGCTGCGTACGAGCTTCGCATATCCAGTGTGGGTTTTCCTGACTCCAGAATCGATAGTTGTGCCTGTTTACTACTCCATGTAAATAGAAAGTAGCTTCGTCCGAAAAGTGAGTGAGTGGAAACCCATTATTCTCACATCGCCTCATTATTTCCTCACAAAATTGCAAACGCCTGTCATAGTCATCTTCCAAGAGCTCTTGGGCAAGACATACCTTATATGGGTTGTATTTTTCTGTTTTCAAAAACCTCCCAATCGTACGTCTAGACGCAGGATTGTTTTGGGCTAATGAAACCGTTGACAAATGTGGATCTTCCTGCAAAGATACGGCAATGTCGATCTTCGTCTAAAACATGTGGCCACTTCTTTGCAAGTCCTTCACTGTGCCATGTTCTTCAAATTTGTGTGAGATCTTACTCACAGTAGCCTGGGAAATGTGATTTTCCGGATAGTTTGCATTAAATACAGTACACACCTCACTTTGACTCCGCACTCTATCCCCACATCCCAACAATATCAAGACTTCGATACGCTGCATCTCTGACAATACCATTTTTGTTTAGCAAATTAAAAAGGAACACTTTGAAGGTGCCCAATTAATAAACTAAACATACATACAATTTCAATTTCACCCAGAAATGCCACAATTTTAAAACTGAGTCAAGATAATAGTTCTTATCAGGGCATTCATTTTGGTACAAGAATGCAACAACCTTTTTCTCTTTTTGAGGTACACTGGGCAACAATTGCTTGGGATGGAACAATTTTATGTGTAAGTTTTTGGTGAAAGAATAAAATCCACAGAATGTTGATGCTACATTATGTTATCAGTTTTACACATAAATCAATAAAATTTGTTGTGGTGCCTGGCCAGGTTGGTCTGTTCTTGAAATTTGTAAACTTTTAGAAAGTAGGTACTGGTGATCCTTAGCAATTGTTGAGCAATGTACATCGTGAAATCAACTGACGTGTTTCAGCATTTTTTTTCTAAAATACTGGTTGAAAAGATATTAATTTTAATTCACGAGCCTGAACACGAACTAACGCTAATATTTTTCAGGGAGCACTGATTTATTTATTGCCGTTGTTAATTCCATGCAATTCTAAACACAATATGTATGCAGCATATACGATTCATTTAGGTTTTAACGATGGCAATCAATTATTGGTGTATGGAAATGCGATTGTGAATAAAGCTGACCATTCACTACAAGAAAAATTGAGCGGATATGGAATTGAAGGCATTTAAAAAAAAAGAAGTGATGTGAAAATGCTTCTATTTATGATGAATCATAGTACAGAGAGAGAGAGAGAGACAGAGAGAGAGACACACAGAGAGATAGAGAGAGAGACAGACAGAGAGAGAGACACAGAGAGAGAGAGAGAGAGAGTTCAACGCCGAGCCAGTGAGAAGAGAAACGCACAGTCGCTTGCGCATGGCGACTTTGAGAATAAAAAAAAGGAATATACCTTCCAATCCTCAACTCTTGCTCGTTGTGATCGTTCATCATTATCTGTGCGCGTACCTAGTTATTATCCGATCATTATCACCAAATTACGTTAATTCGATTTACACGCATGATTTGGTGTTATATAAATTAATCTGTCGCTTCACTTGCTGCGTACGATTGCAGGTAGACTAAAAAATGAATATGGTGTCGATGACCGAGATATTACAAGCAAAGTGCGTGAGAGAGTCGGTGCCTACTTGTGGAATATTCATCACAATATAAGGAATCCAAATAGTCCGGGAGATTTGTTGAAGAGTTGGACTTACAAAAAAATCTGATGTTGAATTAGACATCCACTAAAAACACGTTTTCCACCAACAACATACATGTATTCATTTTCGAGATCTCAACAATTAATTTCAGAATAATTAACTTTGAATCTAAATGGAAGTCAACAAAACACGTTGTGTTCTTTGAAACGAGTTCTCATTCCTTGTCTGGTTTGGCCACATTTCTTTCATACAGTCTAACGACTTAATATCTTCAAATTATTCAGATAGCTTCATAGCGAAATCAACAGATACCAGTAAATACTTTTTAGATAAATACAGAAGTTTTTTATAGAAACATACAACCGAAAAACCTAGGAAATTAAGAGGCCATCGGTGAGATAAACTGTTTGACAGTATGTAACGTGAGTAACCTATGTAGAAGTGACCAAGT